ACACACACACACACACACACACACACACACACACACACACACACACACACACACACACACACACACACACACACACACACACACACACACACAGGAGTCAACGACCCGTCTGCATTCCCTGCACATCACATTTTGCTCTTGAAAGCTGCAAAACTCAAGTCTTGACGTCTTTCTGTTTTTTGTTTTTTTTTCGGAGTTTAATCTGACCCAAATACAGACCAGTTAAATCCGTAAGGATGGGCTCGGAACGAGCCGAACAGGTCAGGTCATTCTGGTGCTATGCATGTGGTCAATTTCGATTTGCAGTACTGTGGCTCGTATTGCGATGACTCGTTCATGGTCCTTCACATTTGGGGCCGGCTTGGGCTTATGACGGCCAGCCTGTCACTGGCAATCGTGCCGAGTGCCAGTTCAAAAAACTCAGCAAGTTACAGTATGACAGGGAACAGGGCCAACAGCATGGACATGGATCGTTAACCATTCTGTTGTTGTTGTTGTTGTTGTTGTTGTTGTTATTGCTGTTGTTGCTTGCATCTGTCGTCTCCTCATATATGGGGAACAACTGTATTCACTATGCTATTTTCTTCTCTCAATATTTTTTCCCACTTCACACTAACTGCCTACATACGCCGTGCTATCTACCCACATGATAGGACTCCGTATCAGTGCACCGGAGGGGAGTTGATAGAGGGAACCCACCTATATCTATCCATTCTACTCCGTGCGGGGGGTAGTACCCGGGCTCGCTAACCCCTTGCGAGCGATGGCTGAATCCCCGAATCCCCGCCAACACCAGCCACAGGGGGCAAGCCAACTATCTCAGCCGGTGGGCCCAAAGTGTTCCGCAGGAGGCTGCGGGGAATCGAATGGGCGACGCGGGGAATCGAACCCAGGAAACCTCCTGAATGCCACTTGTGTGCTGTACCAACTGAGCTAGGCCGGGCGGCGGCCTTGAGCTATCATCGTGGAACTGTCCGGCCCCAGTTAATTAACAATAATTGAATAATTTTGATTACATAATACATAGTACATACCGATTCAAATTTCAAACTTGGGTCAGTATTTCAACAGTTCATCATGGGTATGATGGGTGTACCCACTGAGCTAGGCCTGGCGGTATCTGTTTTTGGTTTTTGTTCTTCTTGTCTTTTCTTTTCCTTCCCTGCCTGGCACATCTTAGCTGACCCATTGTTCGGTATTTTCTGATGCTGCTGCTAAAAAACGGTCGCAGACACATCATGGATCCTCGCTATGCCAAGCTTCTTCTACAAGTCGCCCATCGTGTTCTGGATGTCTATGCGGAGATGCTGGGTCTTTCATCGGATATTGATTTTCAGGTATGCCATCTTATCCCGTCTGGATTTCCGTAAACGGTTGGTTGTAGAATGTACATCCCCTGTAAATCGTCCATTGACAGCTGTCGGATCATGTCTTCGCATAGTCCTGGTAATGGCTGGAAGACTCGATGTTCCTTCTTCTTCTTTTTTTTTTTTTTTTTTTTTTTTTTTTTTTTTTTTTTTTTTAATGGCTGGAAGACTCGATGGTCCTCCTTAAGGGGTAAAGAAAGACCCACAAAATCGTCCCTCGATTTCTGCCCCAATCGTGTCTCGGCGTAGCCCTGGTATCGAATGGAAGACTTCACGGTCCTCCTTAAGGTGTAGTGAGACCTGTAATCGTTATCCCACCTTGGACAGAATCCACCAGGGGGGGACCACCACTGACTGTTCTCTGAGGAAACTGGCCCCTTGATCTATAAGGTTCCTGCCTTCTGGAAACCTGCTCATAATAATAGGGTTATTATTTGCATCGAGAAATTGCTGAACCTTTCCGGTAAGTGCGGAGTTACGCACGCACTGCACCCGATCCTTTCGCCCCGGGTAAATGCGAATCTTCTTTGTATCGTTAGAATTTTAACAGGACAAGGCTTTGTTTTTTTTTTTGATGGCTGGAAGGCTCCATTTATTTGCGAAGGGGCCATGCAAATCTTCTCTGTATCGTTCGAATTTTAACAGAGGTCGCAAAGGACAATCTGGCGACGAGAAATTGTGCTTTCTGCCGCTCCGAAAAGCACTCTAACAAATGTGTGCCAGTTGTTCTTGCTTTGCCCTCTGCTGATTTCTTCTCTGTGTATGAATTGTTGTAAAGTCTTCCTTGGGACACTGGGCGCCTCGGTCTTTCTAATCTGGGGGATTCGAATTTGTTGTGTGTTCTCACGAAGTAATGAATCTAGAGCTCACTCTCAAAGCAAATCTGGGGATAAGGGAATAGGAGGAAGGCTAGAAGGCAAGAAGATCGGAAAACCAGACCCTTGCAACAAAGGGCTCAGCTCAGGGGCTAAAAAGATTATTAAATGGGCAATGACGTAACAAACCAGACAAAGAATTCACAGTAGCAGCTGCGACTGAGAGTGTGCCCATGAATCAGTCGTGACGAAGAGTGTGTTGATATATAGAGTATTATAGACCCTTGAACTTCACTTTTTGGGACTCTGCTCTGTTCCCATTTTTTACTTCGCACTCGTCCGTCACAGGCGGTTTGCCCTGTTTACTTTTTTTTTTTTCATGTTTGCAATATGGGCCCATATCGTTTGTTTTTGGAATTTTTGCTGAACTTTGCACCGAAATGGTCGGCGGAAATGTTGAAGTTTTGGCCCTCCGTTAACCATCTATCTCTCGTTCTCGTGTGTGTGTGTGTGTGCACTCCATACGTTCAAAATTCAAATGTTTGCTCTCTCTCTCTCTCTCTCTCTCTCTCTCTCTCTCTCTCTCTCTCTCTCTCTCTCTCTCTCTCTCTCTCTCTCTCTCTCTCTCTCCGCTGTGTACGTGCATCTGTGGATCTATCTGTGTATGGCAGGTTGGAGTTCTCAGGAAAGCAGTTTTGGAAGAGGTTAAAATGCAGCAGTCCTTGCAATCCTTACAGGGCATGCTGCAGGCACTGATGCCTCAAGCGATTTATGGAGCAGCTCCAATCACTGTATGACTTTTCAATGTTTTTGTCTTTGATCGGTTAATTAGTCAGAGGCCATTTTTTGCCGTTGGACAGGTGGCAGCTGAGGGAGTTAGAGCAGAGGCTCTCATTATGCTGGAAACAGCGGCGGCTTCTTCTGGACACAAAAGCGGAGTTTGATAGGGAAGCTTGCCACCCTGCTGCAGCTAGAGCATACGCAGACTGGGACAGACCTGAATGTTTATGGTCGCGATCATCAGTCAAATTCGGTGACGAAAGTCCCAGTGTGAGTATGCACTTCCTTGCAGGTAGTTTCGGTAGGTGCGGTGCTAGTGGATGAAGCTGGCTGAGAAGTGCAGGTAGCATTGGTAGGCACTTGTGCGCGAAGCGGCGGGCGAAGTGTGGAGATGTCCCGCCCGGTTCCCTGGATGCTGGAAACCTGTGACATTGTGATGGTTTTGGCCTCCCTCTGGTGAGGCTTACTGTTACTATGAACCGGGTAGTGAATACCAGGTCAGATTCATGAGTTTTTTTTTTTTTTTTTCTGTCTTTGCGGATTGGCTTGACTGAGGCATCTTTTGTGAGTGTAAGTGGCTGAGTTACGTGCTCTTTTCTTTTGTCCCCTTCCATGTCTTTGCGCTTTTCAAAATTTTGAGTACAAGATATGATTTTCTGCTGATGAACTGAATGATGCAATCTCCTTATCGTAGCTATTCTGTACCTGTGTGTAGCTGTGGCAGCCAGAAGATGCATTTGGAAATGACTTGTAAGCAATTGAAGATCAAGCGCTTTGCATAATATGCTTGATCTAGCTCAGTTGTTTAGAGATCGGGCATAGCCACGGAGAGGTTATGGGTCCGATTCTGGTCAGCCCGCATCGTCTAACTGCGCACACTCAGTTGGCGTCAGTATGACACACCCCTCGTACATGCCCCCCAACCTACCGTCTTCACCTGGACAGAACGTCTGGTCATGATGGCCGCATCTGGACTAAAAGTTGCTGTAGATACAGATATTATGACTGGGCATTCTATTTGGGTGAAGACGGTAGCGCAGTATGTTCAGCAGAGAGTAGTATGTTGGGTTTGGTTGTGGGAGCACTACTGTGGGGGTGTATGTTCCTGGGGAAGTAGGGGGGTCCTACTGCGTGGCCAAGGTAGGGTTGAAAGGGCTTAACACTGGGCACTGGGGGTCCCTGCTATGTTTTGCAACATGGTCGGCCAATTTTGACATTAGAATTCAGAAGGTTTTTGCCTGTCTAGAATGACCTGAGCCTTCTCCAACAAGAGCACAAATGCCTTGTTTTGTGGCATAACAAAACGGCAGAAGTACTCGAGCTCTTGCTGCTTGAGCTCACACTTGTTGCAATTTGCTTTGTGCTGGACCTTACAAGCTGTTTCTGATACGCGCAGTCGATGCTCCTTTTATGCTTGTGTTATTACATGCCCAGTTGGGCAATGTATGTATACCCAAGGATCCGCAATGTGATAAAAGGACTGAATGGACAATGCGGTGTTAGTGGAATCCCAACAAACAATGTTCATCCTGCTACATACAAAATGGCACCTTGTAGCGCAGTGGAAGACTTAGATATAAGCCCTGACCTGACCGGGACTGACCTCTCTCACGTAGTACAAGACAGTGCAGCGGAATGCTAGAATACCAATGACTAGCCCAATCAATGTCACCAAACATACAACATCCTCATCACAAGGTGTGAAGGGGGCCTGGCGCTACACAGAGAAAGAATGCGCCAGGTCCAGACCATACACAGACGAAGAGGAGGGGATCAGACGAAGAAGAGGGGGAAGATGGGAATGTCGTCAACACCAAGCCTTCGGTACAAGTCCCATATAATCCCTCGTCAAATGTCGGAAGCCCAGTGTCGAGTCTGGATCCAAATGTCACCAATCCCTCTCTCTCATAGTCTGCTGATGCAGCGAAGTCAGGTAGCGAGAGGGTGAGAGGGAGATGGTGGACTGAGAAGAGGAAGAAGAAGAACTCTCTCTCTCCCTCTCTCGCATGTGCCAGGTACTAACCTGTGAAGATGGTGCTGTGCTGCAGGTACCTCGACGACGAGCTGGAGCTATGGCGCTGCAGGTAAGTCTCCCTGGCCTCCGCCCAATCTCTCTCTCTCTCTCTCTCCAGTGCTACTCTAGCTCATAATAGCGCCCAGCGCTGAAGACTACCGCTAGTACTACTACTGCAGCGCTCCTCCAGAGTGCTGCTGCCCAATCCTGAAGACTACCTCCTGCCTCCTGAGATGCACGTGAAGTGCCTGGGAAGTCCCTATGAACTATCTGCAGCCTGCAGGGGCGGGCCAGTCTTATATAGCGCTGGCCCGTCCAGGAGGCTGCTCTTGCCAATGCCAAAACGTGCCAGAACCAAAATGGCGTTGAAGTTCAAACAAAGGTTTTCTTGAAAACATGCCCAAAATGGCCTGTGCTAAAAGCCTGGTCTGGTGCCTAAGTTTCAGGGCAGGTCGATCTTATCAGGGCCTGAAAATGGCCCTCCGTTTCAGGCTGAAAAGACTCAGGGCCTGGAGGGCCCTTTTTAAGCTGAAACGACACAGGGCCTGAAAATGGCCCTCGTTTGCAGGCGCAGCGTGTAACACTCTTCCAAAATCCGTTTGTAGAGTAAGATTTCATCCAAATACACATGTAAATTTGACTAGCATCATCTGCCCGACTTTGGCGTTCATGGCCGCATGGAAAGTGCTTTGCGCACTCTGCTCAAGACCAAATAGCATCGCAGCCCACTCGAAATGCCTGCATCATATCTTTTCGATGATGCGGATTTTGTACCGCGCTCGTGGGCGGGCGGAACTGAATTTGGTGTGACCCGAGTTTTTATCTTATTTGAAAATTTTACATGCATGACTTCAGTGTTCACGGAAGTCGTCGATATGCAGGCGAGAGGACCTGTGTTTTGAATTTTAATTTTTAACTGTTTGAGCGTTAACGCGACTATGACCAATCCAAAGCTGTAGATCTTTGTTACTCTTTCAGAGGAAGAGAACAAGTGTGTGGTCTAGCGAGTTGTTATGGGTGATTCACCTTTCGCGAGCAAATCATCGAGTTGAGGGTGTATAACCGAAGCTCTTCCACGCTCGTCCGGTAGATGAACCTTTTGGGGGAAACCACACCGCATGCGGATCGACTTCATGTGTGATGGGCCGATCCGCAACGACTCTGTAAGGTGCCTCAAAAACATCCATGAATGTGTCCAACTGGCAACAGCTGCACAACGCGAGGGTACGGACATGCATCCGTTGCTCAAATATCTATATAGACGAAAGCATGAAAGAAACAAAGTCTGATCTCCATCACCTGCTCGCTTGCATGCAGAAGTCGTGGCCGGAATGATGCGAAAACGACGCGGCAGCGCACGAAAAAAAAAGAGTATCGATGAGGAATGGTGCATTGGACTACCCAAAATCATTTCTTAGGACTTGGTCTGGAACTGAACCGGGTGGTCCTCACAGGTAAACCAAGGAATGCCCGATATCATATCAAAATGTGTTCAATAAGTCAAATTTAACTGCTTGCCGTGTGTGGCGGCCAGAAAGCTAATAGGCACATACATAGTCAATGCATTACGTGGACAGCATGTTGATGTCCTCGATGGGCACTTGATATGTGGACAGCCTGTTGTCCAACGAACTCTGGCAAGTGCCCATAGACCGCGGGTTTAAACGGTGGAATCGCATGTGCTCCAGAGTCCAGAACCTGCGGCATGTCCAAAGCCATACTGAGCTCAGTGAGCTGTGTCCATCACCGTTGTGGATTGGTCTTCGATTCGTTGAGTTGTTGAAAACGGGAACTCCGATCTTGATTGGGTAAAAACGTAAGGAGGACTCGAGGTAGA